TCATTCTTATAGTTTTTCATACGAAAGACGAACTATTTCCAGATTTGTATGCAAATCTATGCGAAATTTATTATGCATGTTTTTTTGGAATGTAAAATTTCACGAAAGTGCAACACTTTTTTCTTTAATTTCCATTAAAACAATTATTTTTTTGGAAAGGAGGAATTCTATAAGCTTGAAATTTTAAGAAGCCAGCAGCTTTTCAAATCACTGACTATGTCGCACATTTGGAAATTTAGAAACAAACGTCGAATCGTTTGAGACGCGATTATTAAAAGTCTGAAAGGATGGTCGACAGAGTCGATGGATAGACCCGTCGGATTATGCCTCTCGGTTCGTACGCGGATCACCGCGACGTCTAATAAGCTTACGACGAGCAGGTTTCTTGCGGTTGGCAAGGCTCGCTTGATATTTCCCGGTGTAGACGGTAATTTCTTCTTCATCACAACGATCGTCGGATCATGTTTTATATATTACTCGAGACGCATCAACGGTCTTACAAACAAGCTGAAACCTTTTACACCGATCCTCTTACTCATCGTATCTAAATACCGCCTCTTAACACGTTTCAACCCGTTCGCCGACAAATCCGTCAGACCGCGAAGATCATTTTTCGAAATAGAAAAAAAAAGAAAGATCGATTCGAGGAAAATCGAGGAAAGACGAACAATTCTATTTGCTTGCTGTTAGAAACGGTCGATGCTTGTATCCGCAACGCCGTTTAACCCTTTCGCTACTCGGGCCACTATAGTGGTATTCCACAAGATGCCACTGAAGTACTATGTGTCACTATAATGGCCAGCCAAAAGATACCACTGAGATACTACGAGTCACTATAGTGGTCCGATGAAAGATGCCATTCAGGTAATACGGGCCACTATAGTGGCATTCCATAAGATGTCACTGAAGTACTACGTGTCACTGTAATGGCCAGCCAAAAGATGCCACTGAGGTATTACGGGCCGCTATAGTGGCCCGCCAAAAGATGCCATTGAGGTACTACGAGCTACTATAGTGGCGTGCAATTATAACATGGGTGTATGTGAAATTTTTGGCCAATAAAAACGTACTATCTATCTATAGTGGCGTGCAGTGATGTCGGAAGTACCGCGGCGGAGAAGCCGCCCGTAGCGAAAGGGTTAATGGTCGAATCGATTCGATGAGAAGCGAAACTTTCCGCGGGACGAGGAAGTTCGAAGATACGATGTAAGCCGTACGCGATTCTGTACACCTGCGCGACAACTGTCGTCCCGGCGAACGGTACTTACCTACCGTAACTCGCACTCGCTTCAACAAGATTCGTTCTATATCGCGCGTGTACTCTTAACCCACATGAGAACCGAGCGGCACGGAGGAGTCACGAGGGATCGTAGAACGTCGTCATCGGATCGGTGCCGATGCTCCCTCGGCGGAGACTCCGAGCAAGGAGAAGAGAGGAAACGGTGACGACGACACGGACCGGCGCGTACTCCCCTGCTCACCTAATTACTTCTCTCCGTTCGAATCCCTCGTTAAAGATCACAAGGCACTCGCGAGCCGCTTACATCATACCCACTTATTTTATAAGAGCCGTCGCGTCGCGAGTAGCAACGTTCAAGAAAGATATCATTAAGGTGGCCGGCAAAAAACGTGGCACCCATAATTCAGCCCGATAATCGTGGACAAGTGCTTAGAGCACTCGTTTCACTTCCTCTGCTCGGGAAATTTGAATCTTTTTTTTTTT